AATTTATTAAGAGTAGGCAGCGCCGATCGAGTGGTTGCTGCGGCGATGGCGCCGCAAGTAAGCTGGAGCAGCAGCAGCAACGAGGTTTGCTCGACATTAGCAAGGCCACACGAGACGATTGCTGGTTTAGTTTCGTAGTTGTGGGAAGCGACGAACGATTGATTGGCATTAGATTGCGAAGCCACGCCGGCGTTGAGGGATTCGATCAGTGAGGGAGGCATTACATGTAGATATTACGAGTGGTAGCTGTGTGGAGAGCAGATTGCTGCTGGAAGCTCTGAAGTCCTAGCTATGGCGGAAGGGGTGGATGATTCGTTGTCGTCGGCGGCGAGGCCATCGACGCTGCCCTCGCAGCAAGTGTTCAAGCTGTGGCCGCCGAGCCAGGGGACGCGGGAGGCTGTGCGTCAGAAGATGGCTCTCAAGCTCTCGTCGGCGTGCTTTGAATCCCAGTCGTTCGCACGGATTGAGCTCGCGGACGCGCAGGAGCACGCCAGGGCGATCGAGGAGGTAGCGTTTGGGGCGGCGCAGGAGGCTGACAGTGGGGGTGACAAGACAGGTAGCGCGGTGGTGATGGTGTATGCGAAGCATGCGAGTAAGTTGATGCTGGAAACGTTGCGGTCGCAGGGACGTGGAAAGAGGGAGCCTGTGACCCCGACGGCGGCGAGGGGATTGGAGAAAGACGCTGTTGGTGGCATTGCTTCTTCTGGGGGTGAGTGGATTCAATGTTGTCGCTGTTATTTGTGATGCTCGGCTTTGAGGTTGTGCGTGCAGAAGTTGTGGCGTAACGTGTGGGGCCATTTTCAGCCCGGTAGAGGGATCCTACTCGGGATTTGCAGATTCGTCGATGAGCGGATTGCATGTTTGTCAGAAGATGAATTCGAGCTATTTGCTATGTTAGGTTTGTTCTCGAGCACAGAGGTGTTTAAATTATAGAAATGTTTTGGGCAACCTAAGGATGTGTATTCGGCAGCTTGCTTTGAACGTTGGAAGATCCATGCGTCCGGAACGATCTTTTCGCAGTTTAGTAGCTTCGCATTGCCATTGGCTTAGTTGTATTATCTGTTTCTCATTAAATGGGCGGCACGTGATCAAACGAACTGCTGCATGGTTTTAGTTTTTCAGGGGTGTGGGGTTTATGCGCTGTGTGCTGGCTGTCAAACTAAATCACCACAACAACGAAAATAATAACAGAAAAAAATAGAGTCTTTTTGTTTAGTCTGATGTATTGGTAGTAGACCCTGGCTATTACATCACAAATCATGAATAGCGGTGTCTCTATTTTAGGTGAGCAGCAAGCAAATGGTAAGGCAGTGAAGGTGGACGAGAGTGGGAGCAAAGTAGTACAGACATTGTTTGATGTATCGGGAGGCCGAAGAGCTTTCTTGACCAAAGAGCATGCCGAAGATTTGCTGAAACCACTATTTGATGAGAACGAGTACACCCAGATTTGTCTAAGTAACTGGAGTTTTGGACATGGCTCTGCTGAAGTAGCTGCCCGAGCTCTTTCCGCTTTGAAAGACAGACTCGTGGACGTTAACCTTGCTGACATCGTAGCTGGAAGGCCAGAGGCAGAGGCATTAACTGCCATGACTACCATTTCCACTGCTCTTGAAGGGAGCACACTGAAGTCCTTGAATTTGTCTGATAACGCATTGGGAGAGAAGGGTGTTAGAGCTTTTTCTGCTCTTTTGAGTTCTCAACGTTCATTAGAAGCACTCTACTTCATGAATAACGGCATTTCCGCGGATGCGGCTCGAGCTATCCGCGAGATTCTGCCATCTTCTAAAGAGCTTCGCACTCTTCGCTTTCATAATAACATGACTGGAGATGAGGGTGCAGTAGAGCTAGCTGCTGGGGTGGTCGGAGAAGCTCCACTTTTGGAACACTTCCAATTTTCTTCTAGCAGGGTAGGAAGTGAGGGTGGCATTGCACTCATGGAAGCATTGCAAGGCGGGAAGTCATTGAGATCCATCGACATTCGGGATAACATGTACGGTCCCGAAGGAGGTGCTGGGCTGGCCCTGGCTTTGAGATCGCATACCATGTTGAAAGAGGTCTATCTGAGTGATTTGGGTTTGGAAGATGAGGGCGCTTTAGCAGTAGTCAAGGCTTTGACCGAGGCCTCTTCACAGGTGGTGATTCTTGAGCTTGGTGGCAATGAGATCACTGAGAAGGTCGCTCCTGCCCTGGCAACCTGTATTGTGTCTATGAGACACTTAACAAGGTTAAATTTGATGGAGAATGAACTGAAAGACAGAGGAGCGATAATTGTTTCGAAAGCTATCAAGGGAAGACTTGATAACCTGCGCGAGCTCGATCTGAGTGTGAATGAATTAAGTCGCACTGGGGCTGTCGCAGCCGCCGAAGCAATTGCTAACAAAAAGGATTTCAAGTGTTTGAACCTTAATGGCAACCAGATCTCTGAGCAAGGTATCGAGGCCGTGCAGGAAGTGCTAGCAAAGGGTGCGGCAGGTGTACATGTCTTGGGTGCTTTGGATGAGAATGAACCGGAAGGAGAAGAGGACGATGAAGACGATGATGAAGATAATGACACAGGTGATGAGTATAATGTTGAAGGGTTAACCAACTTGGCTGTTGCCGATTAAGAGGATTTAAGATTGCGGGATATGTGGAGGAACGGAGTTGGAATTTGCTCAGCTGCAGGATGAAACGATCCCATTAGTAGTGATTTGCTACAACCCCCAGTTGCGCAGCGTATCATAGTAGCCAAATACATGTAGTGAGTTGAAAAGTGATTATCTGAGCTGGTTGTTTCATGAGGTTTTGCACAAGATACTTATTTCTTTTTTCTGTGATGGAGGCAGGCTTCTTAGTTGAAGCAGGTAGTTGTAGGTTGGCATCTGGACGTGAGCCTCTAGACCATGTGTCTTTACTCATGACTTTAGTCTTAAGAGTCTACCGAAGGAGTTGACCCAATATCGTAGGTGACTTATTCATCTTTACTTTACTGAAACAGTTGCTATATTCTTCTCAACCAGATCTAATCTTTGAGGGTCCATTTTCTTAGAAAATCTTCTTTTACATTTGGTACCTCGCCGTGTCGCTCGGAAGACAAGTGAACTCTAGTTCAGATAACGAACTGACGTTTTACACTGGTTACAGTATGAAGCTTGGATGTGGAAGTAATGTAGTTCTCATTCAAACTTAAGTACTGATCAATATTTTTGAGTTGTAATACTCATTTTTTGTAAGTGATTTAATCTTTGACTGTGTTGTGGGAGAACAGTGAGAGGTTGAAAAAGTAGAGGAATGACACTCGTTGCTTGGTCTTTGCAAATCTTAAAATAATTTGAATTCTTCTATTGACATTATGTAATTTTAAATTACATTAAGTAGTGAATTCTACTAAGTAAAATTTTGAATTTTAAAATCACATCAAGCATATTATCAGTAGAAATAATGAATGAAAAATAAGTTCAAATCTCACATGTCGAACCTCACACACATTCTCAACAACATCAATACTTGAACTTTGCTATTGAATTAAAAAAACCACCCAATCAAAAACACATGTGCGCACATACACACTCACACAAAAAAAAAAATAGTCATGAACAACATTCCAGTTTTTATCAAAATCACAAACGATTTGTTAAGTGAATGCTTTGGCAATGAAAGGTCACTCTGCTCTTCTACGCTCACAGCACCCACCGACACAACATGGTCTATGCAATGGGACTTGCCCTTCGTTATCATCTATATCACATTTATGAAACTCATTCATCCGACGAGTATATATATATATACACACACACACACATATATATATATATATATATATATTGCAACTATATGCTGGTTTCTAAGCAAGAATCTCAACCGTGCAAAGCACAACGCTGTTTGAACAAGAAGAAGTGGAACCAGGTAGGTCAATCTGGCCTTGGAGGCAGCCCCACCGACAGCAACAGAAATGGATTGGTGCAATTGGATCCTGGTGGGAAGAAGTAGCAGAAGAAGTAGAAGAAGAGGAAGAAGAATGCAAGACTCATTGTCGATGAGAATGAAGTACCTGAGATGCGGCGCTGTCCCCAATCTGAGCTGCATTGCGGCGCTTGCGACCGCCCTGATTGGGGTCCCGCCCACTGCAACTGTTCCAGCTGGAGACGCCTCTCAATTCTGCAACCAAAAGTGCAGCTGGGTCACGAGGAGTTGACATCCTCACCGAACTCATGTCGATGCTCACCCGGTCCAAATTCCATGCGAAATTTTGTGAATGAGCTTCGGAGAAGCACACCGTTGAAGTGGCTGCGTTGTTTCTCCACCGCTTGGAGCTTGCTTATTTGGATCACCATATTGTCGCGGAACAACACCCTCCTCCGCCATGCATCTGCCTCCGCCAGCAGTCTACAATGTCTCTGCACAAACCTTCATCTTCCTTTCTTTTATCCACCCGTATTTGAACCTTCTAAAGTAACAACCTCGCGAAAAAAGACACATCAGTGCATCTCCGGATTGCCTGCAAATCTGTGTTTCAGCACATGACTATATCGATGATCCCGAAAACAAACCGAAATCGGTGAGCACTTCGCACCTCGAGGGCTTTCCCTCTTTCGTAATGGACCAGTGGATCGTCAGAACGCGTTGACCGAGTAGACTTGAGGAAGTTCTGTGGGTGGCCTCCCTGCACAGACACATATACTCACACACACACACACACATAGCTGCTGCATTTAATGGCAGATGAAAGAGTGGATCCAGGGGAGGAATGCATCCCAGTCAAATCGATTAGGCGGCAAGTATTGATTAACCTAACAGCTTGGTGATGGTGAGAAGCGTTCTTACCAACTCCCAAGGCTTCACAAACAGGCCTGATTTGAGCGTCGTAGAGCAGAAATGATGCTGCATGTCTTGATTCGGTTGGCAGAGTGTGCAGTCCCATATTTCCGGCAATGGGCAGTGAAATGTTTCACCATCGCAGACGAGAGCTTCGGCCGCCCTGCGCGTCGGCAGTGGCCGCGCCATCGCCCCGCTTCGCTGCATCCCACCGACACCAACTTTGTCGGTAGGTGCCAAAAGATCGGCACTTTCATGAAAAGCTGTCACCTTCTGCACTCTGTTGTTTGTTCATGTGTTCCTTGTCAGTTTTAACAAGGTCTTTTTTGTCTTTTGGTTGAGATCATGACTGCGTGGGTTGTGGGATTCATTCTTTCCCAATGCAATGGAGGTTGGATTTGAGGTCCTACTGCATGCCATTTTTATTTTATTTTTAAATCACATCAATCCTGTAAGTTGTTTCTATATCACACTCATTTAGAATTCACACATACTTTTTCATATGAAATGAGTGAGAAAAGGAAAACATTTCCAATCTCCAAGTATGTATGGTTTAACTTAACTTATTCAGACTTGTAAACCATGTTTGGAATTTTCCATGTTTGGAACACCCAACAAAAATATAATTTAGGTGAGTAAAACCCATTTATATGTCTTTGTCAAAAAAATCGATGTAATTCATCAAAAAACATTAGATTTCACATAGAAGTGCCAAACGGTAAATGGACTGTCGACTGCTTTGTCAAAAAAGGATTTTATGACGCACAACCAAAGACCTCATTATCTACACCACTTCTTCTCCTTTTTTTTAATGAAAAATAAATAAATAAAAGATGAAGCAGAAAAAAGAAATAGTGAAATAAACAAATTGCACAGCTTGACTTAACTGGTTCAACAAGGGGTTTGAATATGCACCCAACAAGGGTGAATTTTTCATTCAACCGTAGAGTCTAGATCCAAGCAGTGAGGATGGATGAGGTTGTGAAGCAGTTACTAGTTTAACTCCTGCTGCAGCAGATGATTTCTGCTTCTTCTTCTACTACTTCTTCTTCTGCTTGCTTGCTTGCTTGCTTGAATCCACATCCCCATGGTTGCCACAACCCACAACCCACAACCCCATTTATTTCGTTTTTTCATACAGAAATGGCTTCTGCAGGAAAAAAAAGTTGGGAGCTAAACTAGAGGTTGGGGCACACAGACCAACCCAGTGTTCTTCATAAAAACTGTGGTGGGAACAGTTCCCATTGCTTTTAGGGTTTCTCACTGGGGTGGTGAGAAAGTCAGAATGCCTCATTTCTTCTTCTAATGAATGTTTTTGGTGGGATTCACAACCCAGCTGTGCTCTTTGCTTCTGGAAGCCAGGGGAAGTGGATGATTCCATCTCCCTTCCCAAAACAAAATCACACACAGATCATAAGAAAAAACTCTTCCTTGCTGTTGAATGTCTCTCCCTGAGTATGCACCTGTCCTGCAATCCCTCCTTCAGGAATCCTTCTTGCACTTCCTTTGCAAGGTTCACTAAAATTAGGGTTCTTATCTCTGGACTGCAGAGCAAGGATTTGGACTTCCACAAGGAATCCAATTTCTTGCTTGTATTTTTCTACAGCTGGTTTTGTTTCACCAAGAGAAACAGCTAAAGACCAAATAATCATTCACCATGCTTGTTGCAGTAAAGGAATTTAGACAGGGAAAAAAAATGAAAAAAAAAAAAAAAAAAAAAAATGAAAAAAATGAAAACTAGGACATGTTTGACATGAGAACAATGCTACCTGAAAACAATACACACAACTGCAAATGTGGTGTATGGAACCATTCAATAAAGGAACATCAAAATGGTTTCCCTGCACACAATGTTTCCAGAGCAAATGTGATAGGAGTTATTGCAAAATTTCTTGTGATGTACAGGGGTTACCTTCAATCTCTGTTTCATGAATAATGGTGTTTTCTCAATTCTAAGAGAAGGGGGAGGAGTGCAGGTATGTGGTGGGGTATGAAGGCACTCCTGTGCACTATGTGGACAATGGGACGGCTGTGGCCATCTGTGGGAATGGCTTCTGTCTCTACTCCCTCCCCACCAACAAGAGCAATGGTGGGAGTGGCAGTGGGGGTCATGGCTATGGTGGCAACCGCCTTCTCATGTGGGGGCCAAATGCTGGACTCCAGACCTCAGCATTCCACAACCAAGACGGCACCCTTGCCTTTGTCGACAAGGTGTGTCCTCCTCCTCACTTAAATAAGCAAATCCTGCTACAACTAAAAGCATTCATACATTCATTTACATAAACAAAAGCTTGAAAGAGAGGAGTGTGGGGTGGTGGGCGGGTGTGCAAAAACCAGGGGCTGCCACCAGCAGTGCACATTCACCAAATGAACTATGCCAACCGCAAGATTTTCACCTTCACTGGTAAGGAAGAAGAAGAACAACAACAACCCTAAAAGAGAGGGAGTGAGGATGCATGCTAAATGGATGCTTGACATCACTTGAGAGAAGGGAATGGGGGGTTATGTTTTTTAACCTTTCTGTTTAACAGGTTTTTGTTGCATTGTTGTGTGCCATATGTGTGTGTGTGTGTGTGTGCCATCAGGATTGGGGGAGTTGGATGTGAGTGTGCTGGCTTTCTCTGTGTCCTCCCCCTCCAGGCTTGTGACGGCCTCTGCAGTACCTGATTTCCGCCTGGTGAGTTCTCAGGAGTTCTATGGACAATTTCCTCGAATGCTGCATAATTTCTTTTTATGACTATTCCTACTACAGGAATCCACCCATTTGAAAGTGCAAAACTATGACTGGATAACCCTCTTGCTCAGGACTTCATAATCCATTAATTTTTACCAATATCTTTGCCATAATTTACCAAGTTTTATTCATTAAGAATGTCTTGACAAAGCACATATTTTGTAATATTTGCAAGGATTTGTTGTCTAGTAAATCAATTCGATCCAATCGAGTCTTCTAGTTCATTAATTGTTAATAATAACAATAATAAAATCTGACAAGTTAGAAAATGTGACGGTGTGTGCTGTAAAGATTTTGTGGAACCTTGAGGACACCAAAGGAGCCACCAAAATGGCAGAAGGCAAGTTGAAACAAATAGCCAACTTCGCCAGCTTCTCTCCGGTTAGAAACAACCAAGTGTGCATCAGTGGCAACGGCCATCTTTCCATATGGACATATGAGCAACAATTCCATGTACGAATCATAAAAATATCAACTTTATAAAAACCCACAACACAAACAAAGCAACTAAACACTGCATTGCAAACATTCCACAGCATTCTGTCACACCCAATTTGGAAATCACTTTTTTCTGAAAAAAAAAAAAAAGAAGCAGAACTGAGAATGCAAAACGGGGAAGTGTGTAGGTGGTGACATGGGAGCAAGTGGAGCGGCAATGCGAGCCCTACCGGGCGCATTGTCACTGCTGGGGAGCAGACGGCGACGTGGTGTACGCTGGATGCATGGAAGGCGTGGTGGTGAGCTTCGACGTGAAGTATCCGCCCACGAAGGAGACGCCCAAGCCCAAAACCATCCTCACACTGGGGACCGGTGACAGGATCGTGGCGCTGTGCGGAGGGCAGAACAACTTAGCCGCGGTGACGGAGAACGGGAGCTGTACCTGGATAGGGTTCCCCGCACGGAAGAAGAAAGCGAGGGCAACAACGGCAGTGGAGATGAAAGCGAGAGTGAAAGCAAAGAAGGGGAAGGGGAATAAGGCGGTGGAGGCCGCGGGGCAGCAGCAGGGGGAGGAGTGGGAGGCGCTGCGCCCCGAGGATTTCCGCGTGGTGCAGCAGCTGCAGCTGGGATTCGGCGGCGTGGTGTCGGCGCTCTACCGCGGCGACGAGGAAGCGCTGCTCGTGGCCTCGTCGCGCGGCATCCTCGCCTCCGCGCTGATCCACCGCCGACAACTCTTGGCTCGCATTGCTGATGTGGCGCATGCCACCGTGGACCCCTTGGTGGAACTGACGTGGCAATGCCGCTTCCACCGTGGCGCCATCCTGGCCATGGGCTTGGTCTGGTCAGTACTCTTCTCGTTCCATCACCATCTCAGTTCCTTCTTCTTCCTTTGTTTGGTCTACCTAATTCTGACCAATGATGGGTTACAAAACCAAGAGTCCAACTTCTTCTTCTTTTGTTATTGATATTTAAAACATAAGCTTGCTCTACTTTTTACTTTTTTTACCTTTTGTTTTTAGGGCAGTGGTGGGAAGGTGTTGGTGACATGTGGGGAAGATGGAACTGTGAGGAGTTGGGCAGCTGCCCTGGGCAAGGAAACCTCATGCCAATCCTTGAAGTCCCCTCAACGGGTCTTGTGCATTCTTAGTGAATTTGATGATGTATGGGATCTACCTGCATTTTTATCCCTATAACTTGAAACTGTCTGTCTTTTTTGGGTTTATTACCTCATTCTGTGTTTTCTAACTCCATGCTCAATAAACTCTATAAAACCAACAACAACATTAGACACCACAATTATGCCAACTTATCACTGCCAACTAGTACAAATGGAACTATGTATACATACATTCTTTTTAGCTGAATGCCCTTCACCCTTTACCATTCCAAACAATTCATTAAATCCACATATATACACACAAATTTATGTATATTTATGGGAGAGAAATGGCTCACATGAGGAAAAGAATTGAGGTTGAAATCCATACATCTTCATTGGTAAGTTTTTTTTTATATAATTTTATAACTTTTTCGTTGTTATTTTGTTTGTTAAAGATTTTATTTTGGTACTAAACGATTTATTGTTGTGGTGCTGACTTGGCAGGCATTTATTGTAACTGGGTCACTGGCTGGCTACATGAATGTATTCCACATTCAAAGTACAGGTGATTCAAAGATTGTGAAGCAAGTAAAGGTGCACACAAGATCTATTGATCAAGTAATACAATCCTCGCTTTCTCTACTTTGTCTCCATTAAATACCCCCTTTCCATTTGTGAGGTATTGAAACCCTTGGCTGCAGGACAACATGTTGCATGATAGATGTAGACATTCTGTAAAAACTGTAAATTTGAAAACTTAGAAATATTTTTTCAAAATACAAAACGATAGTCATGAAGGTGGTTAAAAAACTGAAAAGAATTAGCGTAGAATTAGTTTACTTCACATTGAGCTTAATATGAAGAACAAAAAAACATTTCACTGATGGAATTACTTTTCCATCAAATATAATTACAGTGCCAGTTTGACAATATACTGTTTTTAAAATACAATACAATGAAATAAAATAAAATATTTATCTACATGATTAAAGTTTATAATATGTATCAATTAGCAAAAGGAGTGAGGACCTACGGATTTTTTTTGTTTTTTATTTATTTTTTTTAAATCTTGAAATTTTGTAGATTATTTACAACAAGAGTAATATGATCTTGGTAGCTGCTTCAAAGAGTGATGGCCAGTTATACTTTCTTCAGAATAAGTCCTTGGAATACAACACCTTTGAGTTACTTGGCTACACAGTCATGGGCTATCCTGTCCTTGCTCTCACCTTTGAAGCTAAAACATCAGAGTCGGGTACTTCTCCTTCAAACTCCATGTGTTAAATCTAATATATCAAAATAAGGTGGGCATCATTTGAATAATATTAACCAGTGAAAATTACCATAATATATAATTACATGTGTGTGTGTGTGTATGGATGTATGATTTATTTGTTCATTCATTCACAGTTCCATATTTCCAAGTGTGAGAACCCAAACATAGTTGTTCTGAATGCACACAAACCCATCTGTCAATGGTGCCTTCAAATGAATTGGATATTGGAACCTTGTGATACAGGAGAAAAGGATTTGAATGTTTTGGTTTCACTGGCCAAAGCAAATAATTCAGGAGAGGTGGTATATCTAAAAGTACCCAATCAAAGACTACCAAACAATGAACTCTTTTTTGAACATAGTGGACTTCAAAGAAAAAGGCAATTGATGCAAAACATAAAATAAATAAGTAAACAAAATAGTAATTAATAAGTAATAATAATAGTGTTCAATGTATGAATGCCAGATGGCATGGATGAGGGGAATAACAAGTGGGCACCATGTGGCAGCTTCAATGTGCACTACGCATTGAATGACATGGCATGTGTGAGATACTATTTGGACAAGGAGAAGCTTGAGATGAAAGTGGTGTGGGCTCTCGCGTATGATAAAAAATTGCACCAGTATAGGCTGCCCGAGGCCACCAACGCTTGGGCAGGGACAGAGGCGACTGCCCTGGCCCCTCACCTCAGCCTTGCCCCTCACAACAAGCCAGGGACTGCCCTTGGTACACTCTCACCCACCCTCTCCCTCTCAAACATTCTCTTTATATATATATATATATATATATATATATGTTAATATATATAGAGAGAGGGAATTGTTGAATTAATCCAAGTATTTACTAAATTGACCCATCCATCCTAACCAGCATCAAAAAAATTTCCACAGCTGGATTCTACAGAGAGGTCACAAATTTTTAATTCCTTTTAGGTTTGATTGAAATTGAGAAGTCTCAATTACTCTTGGTTGGATTTGACTTTAGAAAATCAATCTAAAAATTGTTAGAAAAAGAAGGATGAGGTAGAATACCTATTTTTTCTCCATAGCATGAACAACAATATCCTCCAAAATTTGCAATAACTCCAAATAATTCATTTCTTTATCTTTACAAAAACCCTTACAGGAATGATTTTTTGTTTTATGTTTGTCGTTAAAATAATAATAATAATAATAATAATAATAATAAATCTTACCATGTAAATTGAATGAATTATTGTAGCATTGTTGGAGAAGGAGAAGGTTATAGTGACAGTGGGAAGAGATGGCGCATTGCAAGTGTACATGGATGCCTTGGATCCATACAAGTCGCCCCAGCTGACCTTGGAGCTGCAGCTTCAGGATTTTTTCAGCACAGGCATTTGCTGTGTTGCTGCTGCACACAATGGCATGGTGTTCACGGGCGGGAACAATGGTGTTCTCCACTGCCTCAACTATTCCCATGCTGGGGTCATCTCTGCGGCTCCTAAACCCCACTGCAAAACCACAGGTTTATTTTGTATTACCAAACTACAGCATGTTATGTTATGCAAACTGGGTGCCAAAAAACAAATTAAAAATAATAACAATATAAAAATAGACCCACTATTAACAATGTATGACAATTTTTCAACCCATCCTTTTGAACCCAAGGAACCAGTATTGTTCACAAAGTGCAGTTAAAAGAGTTTTTTGTTGTTTATCTCTTGTTGTTCATAGATTACCATAATAATTGCATTGGTAATAACAAGATGTAGTTGTAACTTCTAATTGGATATCTATTGTTGGCAGTGGAGCCACTGAGTATGAGTTTAACAGTTCATGAGCTGGAGGAAGACCCTACAAAGCTCACCATCATGGAACAACATCTTGCAGACACAGAGGCCAGGTTTTTCTACAAAACCTTTTTCATCAAAGGTGACCCAAATTTTAATGCTTTTTGCTGAGTAGACAGCATGGAACCCTAAAACTGCAAGCTTTTTATTTTATTTTATTATTATTTATATTTTGAATTTTAAGGTTTTAGTTCTTGTGAATCATGCCACTGCTGTTGGACTATTTTGTGTGACCTTCCTGAAGCCAAGAGGATTAGAATTGTAGTCACAAAGATGAATAAATCGTTTACTATATATTGAATTGATCAATCAACTAATAAAACCATGGGTGGTTGTGAGTTTTCAGGTATTTGGCTTTGGGTGATGCTGAGCGGAAGAAAGTGAAGGATGCCATTCATGGGCTCAGAGAAGCTTATGCACAAGTGCACAATGCCAATGAAATGGTAGCCAGCAAACTGCTACTATATTATTAACAAACCAATATAAAAAATAAAGGATGAAAAGTAGCAATTCATAAGCATTTTTATTTGCTATTTATTTTTGCTTGTCAACTATGAAAGTGATAGCAACAACAACTACTATTACTACAGGTGAGACTATAAATATTTAAGACTTTATTTTTATGATTATTCTCTCTCGTCTTTATATTCAGGTAACATGGTGTTATTTGGCAGTAACTTCATTATCTAGTCTCTAAGTGAAATGATAACATAGAATGTAAATACATCAAACTTTATCTTTAAAGAACAACACAATCTTCTCATTGAAGGATTAATTTATTAATACAACTATGGTTACAGTTCAGATTACTGCAACATCTTGTTTAGCATAGATTGGAATGATAGCACAACTAACTCTGAAATTGCAGGCACCACCATTGGAGAAGCTGGGAATCCATGAAATGGTTGTTGACACTGCCATGGAAAGAAAGCTGCAGGAGGGATTGCGGAAAAAAGTTGAAGAAGCCCATGAGGAAGTATAAGACAGTTTGCTCTTTCATAAAAACACAAACAAACAATAAAATAAAAATACAACTGCCCATGGCTAGTCTTCTCTCTCTCTCTCTCTCTCTCAAAACCCCATCTCAAAGGGTTCAGGGTTTAAGCCAAGGGTCATCGTCTTCCAGTTTCTGAATCCATAAAAACCCTTTTGCAATGAAACAGAGCCGGATCAGCAACGTGAACAAGGATATACTATCGGAGCGCCTCAAGGAGGAGTGCTGGAGCGTCATGGCAGAACCTGGTGAACTATTCTAAACAGAAAATACTTTAAGATTATACAAAGTTTCAGCTCTCCGAAGTGCCGAAATTCATGTTTGAAAGAAGCGACTAAACTGGGTAAAATTGAAGTCGAAAACTGAGGAGCGGTTTGAAGGGGAGGGGGGAAACAGGAATGGCGGTGTGGCCATGTGGGAAAGGATATGAAGTGTGGAGTTGTCCCACGCTCGCTGCGCCGAGCTTCAACCCCAAGGTAGCCCAGCTCGGGAAATTATACAGGCAGGTGGAAATGTATGAACACCACCACATGAAGCTCTTGCACCGGGAGATGGCGAAGCAAGCCGCACACAAGGCGGTGGAGCTCGCCGCGCAAGAGGCCGCGCAGGCCGCGACTCGCCTGGCTGAGATCGACGCCGCCAACGCGCTTGCGTTCGGTCCCCCTCCTAGCCTTGCCCCTGATGCATTCGAAGTCGAGACCTCCTCGCAAAGCTCCAGCTACCGCAGCTCCAAGGCCTCCTCCAAGTCTAACCAGTCTAACATGAGTGTCCTGGAGCCGAATCCCGCAGACAGCCGGTACTTGGCTGCAGCCCCCCCCCCCCCCCCCGTTGTTTCTGTTCATCGGAAGAAACTGACGACGATGACGATGCTGAAGAAGATGAGGATGATTGTGGGTGTGACTGCAGGATGAGCATGCGAGAATCCGTGGTCGAGCGGGAAGGAGGCAAGGGCGAGGGTGAGGGTGGCGTCGAAGCGGAGGCTAGACCAGTGGCGGAGATCAAGCCTGACGCCGAGGAGGACGATGACGACCAAGAGATTGAGATCGGCGAGAATTCGCCCGCGTCCATGTTCCTGTACAGCCCGTTTCAGTTGCAGACTTCGAAAAGGAAGCGGATCCAAGTGGGTGGAACTCGCGTGCCCCTCGGATTCTTTGTTGTGTGAGCTGCAATACCGTCGTCGTCGTCGTCGTCTATTTCGAGCTTCAAGGGCTGGCTGACCGTGGTGGCTTTATGGGGGGAGGAGGGCGTGCGTGCAGCGGCTCCTACTTCACATGCAACTCCGCGAGATCAGGTCGGCATTCAACAAGCAACTAGCGCAAGCGAGGTCCAACAAAGTGTCCCTCATCTCCCGAGTCTCGGAGATGAAAACGAGGATACTGGATTTGCACAAGATGCTGTCCCAGCCTGGAGTTTATCCATGGCCCGACCTCAACGAAGTTGTGGACGTAAGAATATGATCCACTTTTTTGCTTAGTTTCTCACTCTCATTCGCTCTGGTTGAAGTATGGCACAAACAAAGGATTGCAACAGGCCTCCTCTCTATTTCACCAATTGAAGGATGCAGCGACGCCAACAGTGAGTGAGTGAGTGAGCGAGTGTCTTTGTTCGTTTGTTTGTTCTCTGTGTGTGTGTGTGTGTGTTTTGATTTGAGGCATGAATGAATGCCTACATCTGCAGAGTATGCCCAACATCTTTACCGTTGCAGACGATGAAGTGCTGGTGGAGAAGCACCTGAACAAAGCTGAGAGGCAACGCGCCCTGCAGCTTGCCCACTTCGAGGAGCAACAAGCCAGGTTTGCAGGATGCTTAATACAACAAATTCAAAAACATTCCTTAATTAATATATATATATATATATATAAACACACATACACAAAACCACAAAATAAATAAATAAATAAATAAATAAATAAATAAATAAATAAATAAATAAATAAAATTTATCTTTGAGTACTTCAATGACAAGGGTTGTAGAGAGTAAGTGTTGTGGTACCAGTTCATACAAACTTTACATCTAGTTAATGTTGGGGGGTTTGGATGGATGAAAGGAAAGGTTGCTAGCAGGAAATGATGCATGCGAGCGGGCTTTGATGGACATGATGGGAGGCATTCTAGAGAAGAAGCTTGAGGTGGTGGGAGCGGAGGAACAGATCAAGCTTCCTGCCTGGATGGAAGGCAACCCTAAAAAGTTCACCAAGGAACAACACCTTGAAATCAAAGCTTTTGATGCCATGCTCAAGGTTCCCACGACAGCAACATGACCCAAGTCAAAAAAATAAAAACAAATGTCACCAACTGAAAAGAATAACAAAAAAACTAAGTGTTTATTGTTACTCTATATTGTGTATTTTTGCAAAGGGAACCGTTCAAAAGTTACACAGATTATTTTTTTATTATTTTTTTTATTTTTTTTGGTGCTAATCGGAATTTGTGTATTGTGTTTTGTGTTTTTTTCTGGAAAATCTCTGAATGGTGGAATTGTGCCACCTTGAAGGCTATAGCAGATGAAAAAGATAAAAAAATCAGAGCACAAGAGGCCGAGCAAAAAGCGCTCAGAGCTGAAGTGGACAATATTTGTTTTAATTTCGATGCCCAGATGGAGGATTTGTTCCAACAGCGCCTCTCGGTGTGATGCACAAACAATTTCTTCTCTTTTTCCTCTGTTTGGAGCATGTGAGAGCATGAACCAAATATGATCTGGAATTATTCATTTACTTTCACCTTAAGAGAGTTTAAAAAAAAAACAAACAAACAAATCAAAAAGAGAGAGAGAGAGAGAGAGAGGATAGAGTTTTTTCCACTATCATACTTGCAAATAATCACTCCTGTATGGTGGGTTAAAACATGAGCAAGGTTGAGGCCCAATGCATTGCCATAGAGGAAACAATAGCCAGGCTGAGTGCATCAATTGAGAAGGACGAATTTGTGGACGAAAGAACTGAGGCCAACATGAACAAAAACATGGAAAGACTCAAAACATTCAAGGCCCAGTCAGTTGCTTCCCTTGCAGAGTTCAAGAAAGAAGTAAGCCTGCATTCCTTTAAAGAATAACACATTCACCACATGGTCTACTTCGTTTAACTTTTTATTTATTTATTTATTTATTTATTTTATCTCGCCTTTAGGGGTTTAGGCAACAAAAGTACTTTGTTGTGGTGTATTCCAAGCAAACATGGATGGAAATCACCGGACTGTTGTGCACAGTTGTGGATGCGGGCAATGAGGGTTTTTATATGTCTATTAAGAGATTTGTTGTTGTTGTTGTTGTTGTTGTTGTTGTTGCTATTCTTATTCTGTGGGTTAGGTGGAGAGTTTTGAAGCTAAGTACCAAGCTGCCACAAAGGAAGATTTATTGCAAGACAAAAACTTCCGCAAAGATTTTGCGGATACTGGTGATGCAATCAACATTCTGCATAAGAAATTCAAAGACCGCCCAAAGTAAAATGCCATGCCACAAAGTGTGAATCTGTCTTCTAATATGATGAATTTTTATTTTTAATTTTAATTTTGACTTTTATTTTTACCAATTGGCTCATAACATACAGTTCTCTGTAGATAAAAATGTCTTGGTTATTGTCTCTTTCTTTTTATTCCAGTAACAAAACAAAAAAAAAAACATAATATGGAAAATGTTATTTGTACTTTGATGGCATGTATAAAGTACCTCGATTCTGTAGGCAAGTAAGTATGAAAGTCTCCCCCCCTTGTGAAATAGAAACGAAAATATGAGAATAATTGTCATGTGTGCAGGGCTAAGGGTAGTGGTGTGTCTACAGCTGCGAGATCAGCAAAGAAGGCAATGACCAAGCAAACAACTTCAACGTCTTCACGCAGCCCATCCCGCAATCCATCCCGTCGACAGTCTAACGCAGTAATTAAAATAAAAAAATAATATTAAAAAAAACAACCCTACAAGCAAAACAGAGGCCAATTTCTAGGATTCATTTGTAACAATAAATATATAAAATCATATATGCTTCTGTATATATTAGGGTGGAACATACCCACACATGCGTGTCTTTACAACTCTCATTGTACCAATTAGAGTGGAGTTGTATGTGTTTTTTTAGCAGGTATTAAAGGCACCACCACAGCCACCACCACTCGAGGCCCCAGCTGACCCTTTCAACGACAGGCCCCCGGTACCGAATTCCAGCATTTTCCAATTGCAATGCAAAAGTGGAGAAATGAATCTAGAGGTCATTTTTTTAGGGCTAAAAATAATGTGTAATGTGCTGGGAGGGCAGGAAATCACAGTGCCACAGTGGGAGCGGCTGCTGGCTACGCGGAAAAGGAAGATGCAGCAGGAGGCCGAGGTCGCACGGCTCACAAGCATTATGAAGAGCATGGCCGGGTTTCTCGTGCACCTCACCCAAGTCGATGATTCCAACTCCAAGGAGATTGAAGTTTGCCTGCGCACCATGGCTGGTTCCTCCACAACACTCGCTCTCTCGCTTTCATAATCCACCCATCATTAATAGAGGCAAAACTATGAGGATAACTTCTGACCTAACCCTAAACCTTACTCTGTGTGTGTGTGTGCACTTGATGGTGGGTTTGTGATAGATTTTCGAGAGGAGCGAGAGATAGGGAGGAAGAATCTGGAGTTTATAATAAAGATGAAATCTGGGTTTGTTGAAGCCATTCTGGATCCTCTTCAAGGTGACTATGCTGATGTGGTCTTGCTCCCTTGCTCCCTCATTGAGGACTTCAACAAAGTGGTTCTTTACGAGGCCAACACCAAGGCAAGAGTTTCATTTTTTTTCTTCATTTTTCTTCATTTTTTTCGTTTCAGAACTCTCTTATGGCTATTTGATTGTTTTATAACATTTTGTTGCAAACAAAATCTACATACATGTCTGTTTACTGATTTTAATAGATTTTTTGAATAGTTTGTTTTAAAGATTATGAAAGTATAGATGATTGCCCATCAATCTTAGACAGATCTTCATATATATATATATATATATATATATATACATGTATCATCGAATTTATGATAGATGTCAATAATTTTTAAAAAATTGACAGTTTCTAAAGTTTAAAATCATGCAAGTTTATAGCTTTTTATTGCTCCAATGAAAATATCATATGCCCTTGATGAATAGTCTGGGTGGATGAGTTATTACACTAGTTTGCAACAATTGTATTTAAGGTGGATTTAACTTAATTTTTCAATTCAAAAAATGTCAAAACAACTCCAATTATTATTTTTTAATTATTTAATTTTTGGAGATAATTATGTTCAAATTTAGATTTCAAAAACAATGTAGCGAATTCCTTAACTGAAACCTTATGTAGTCTTTAAGCATATGAATTATTCACAGAGGTGAGATAATATGAAAACTAATACTTAAAAAAAATTGATTAAACTAATTTATTTAGCTTCCAATTCGAAATTCATATGATAATAATAAAAAATATATGTTAATGATTTCCATTAAATTGCTATATTTATCACGCACAAATCCATCTACTAAACTATAATCAAAATATCTTCACTTTACTTGCAAGTTGTTGAGTTTTAGTTTGACATATATTTCAACATAATTATGTAAAACACCCAAATCTCATTTGTGTTATTGAAATTTATTTATTCATTCATCAGCTTCTTTTTCTTTTTTCTTTTTTCTCTTTTACATTAAATTAGTACAGATGGAAATGTTGAAGCAAACAATAATATTCAAAGCAAAGAATCATGTAGTGGAATGGGAAATCTCAAAGAACTGCCTTAGGCAACAACATATTATTGAGAAGATTCGTGCACTTCAACTCCTTCGTGTAACAAAAGGTAATTATACTAATGACAAGTGAAGGAATCCATTCTCTTTTTCATTATATATATATATATATATATATATATATATGTATAGACATAAACAAAAGACTGAAATTTTGATCAAATTCATGAAATTCTTATATATAAAACTTCAAGAGTAAAAAACAAAAAACAATTATATCAAGAAATACATGCATACATATATACATACATACAGTGAGAGTTTAGTAAATGCAAGAATGGAAGAGATAATGAAGTTTAATATACTTCAACCAAAGAATAACATATATAATTTCACTTATAAAGACCTTGTTGGTACTAAACGTGCACAGTTCTTCTGCCCAACCTTCAATATAATGTCCATTAGAATGAGCTGATCCTCAAAGTGGTTGTTATTTGAGTGAACAAACAAAATAAAAAATCACCACCATTGAATTATCTTCAGATGAATGATACAGACACCAGAATACTCACAATCAGTTTTTGGTTTCAACCCAACACAATGCAAATCTTCTTCTTCTTCTTCTTCTTCTTCAAGTTACCCTTTCTAACTTTCTAATCCATTTTTTCAATGTGATGTGCAGCCACTCAACAAGTTATCCGGACAGGAGAGGACCCAGTTGCAGCTTCAGAGGGCTTAGCGCTTGAAAAGAGGTTCTCACCAGCACACCACCTGATGAATGCCAATAAACGTTAATTTCTTTTATAATTTGTTTATCATTCAAGCTTCGGTGCTCACTGTTGCGAATGCAGATTTGAGCACAATAAGAAGATGCACAGCCACCGGGTCAGGGAGAGGGACAGTGCATTGACGCTGGTGCAAGGCAAGAAAGGGGAGATGCAAGGCCAGAATGCAAAGATGCTCGTGAAGACCAAGGCCCTGCACGTCGAGGAGCACTTCCTTGCTCGCCTTTGCAGCAGTAGACGTACGTCTACCACTCACTCACTCTCTCCCAACCCTAACCCTAACCCTAATTCTTTTGGGGCGGAACAATGCATACCTGCATGTGGAATAGTGGAGGGGATCTGAGATGGATTTCTGGGGGTGGTTTTTGCAGTTGCCGCTGAGCAGAAGTTGCATGCCCTTGACCAGCGGTTTCAAGCCTTGTACCTCAAAAGGCAACTCCACAACAGGGGTATTGCACACTCTTCACTTGTAAAAACTCACTACTTCTGCTTTGATTAGTGGCCAACTTTACAACGTTTCTCTTTGTTGTTTACTAGCTTTCCTCCATGGATTTTGCTAAAAAGTAATCTTAAATCCAACGTGTGGATGAATACTTTTCTAACAAATTCTTACATGGGGTGTCAAGTTTAAAGGGAGGTTCTATGTTTTAACCTCTTTCCACTTGTTAGTCTTGAGCTTGGGGGTAGTGGGCAAAGAACATAATTTATTTTAACAATTATTTAAGCAAAAGGTGGTGGTGGGGGCTGGATGTTTGTGTAGCTTGTGCCCAAGCAAAGAAATTAGAGGAGTTGGGTGAAGAGTTTGTGAAGATGCAAAACCGGATCATTCCGCGGCTCCCGAATGCTAACATGTCCAACTACAACTACCCGTCCAGGTCACCTCATTTCCAGCAGGGACGAGCCGTTTTGGAGGCCCGGAAAGCGTATTTTCTATCCCTTGGTAGTCGACCCTCCATGACACATGACACATGATTTTGGACCCCTTTTTCAAGGCCATGTTGTGTTCCTTTGCTTCAGTATCTTCTTTTACTTGACTGTGAGAACTAAGAGACTGTCATCCTCCCATTTTTCTTAACATTTCTGATTTAAGATTAATGATTTGCAGAAGTCCTTTTTTTAAATCATAAATGTTTTGTTTATTTGCAATTAATATCAAGCATTACACAATCAAGGAGTCAATGCAGATCGTGCTTCTTAACAAACTTCATATTTGATTGAGTGAGTTATGAAAGTGAGTGATGAAAATTTGGAAACAAAGTGGGTTGGACTGAATAAATTAAGAAATATGTGTACTTGTTATGAAGAAGATTAGAAACAAGAGGGTTTGGTTAGTAACAATAATTTTACAAACCTACAGCTAATAATTACAAATTAAAATGATTCTGAGATTTTGTGTAGAATTTGATTGTGTGTACCAGATTTTATAAAATATTTCCTAGAAAGAGTTTCCTTTCTAAACTGAAAATAATATTTTTGAACAATTCTCATATCTTTTGAGGATATTACATTTACATATTGAACTTCGTAAAAATCAAAATGAAAATGAAAAATACTTCAGAATTTGTATATGAAAGATTTAAAAACCAAAATAACTAGTAAAACTAGAATAATAATTTTTATACATATTGAATTATTATGTGCAACGAAAAAATTCATAAAATGTAGGGATCTAAATTTAATTTATTTTTTTTAGAAATATTTTATTAAGAAGATGAGGCTTCTAATATATTTGTATTTCTTGAATGAACTAAAAAACCAAGTGGGTAGATAGAACTTGAGGTCAATATGTAAAGCCTTTGTCCACACAGACCAAAATAGCTGGATAATTTATGTAGTGATAATAAATACTTATGATACTTTGGTATATTTTGAAATTAAACTAGTTTACAAATGTAATCCACTTAAAAAAAAGCTAGATTATGCTTAAAGATACATACTCAAAATTCAAATTCAACCCAGAAAATAAAATCAAAGCTAATATAAATACATTTGTGGACATCTATTACCATTATTATTATATTACAAATAATAAATAATATACAATAAAACTGGAAGATGCATACATATTCAATTGATCAGTCACATGTACATTAAGCTGGTCTAATTCTATTTAAGATTTATTTAACGTCATATAGTAAAACTTTATGTTGTGATATATATATATATATATATATGTGTGTGTGTCTCTGAGAGATTCTAGCCTTGGAAGATAAATAAGTAAAAAATATAGATAAAAAGCTTTAGTAAAGCAGAAAACCATCTTCAGTCTGCTTAACTCTTCTTTTTAGTATTGTTTTTCTAGTAGCTTACACAGTTTTTTGTACCCTAATGTAGTCTTCTAGGTATAATACTATGTGCCAATACACATTTTTTTGTTACTATTTTCCAATATTCTACAAATAAAATTATCCTTACATAACTAATATTAAGCTGCTTGTTTGATTGTTTCTATTTCCAAATTTTGTTGATGATTTATAATGTTTTTTTATTTGTGGCAATTTGCATGAATGCATAAATTCATTATTTTATTATTGTACCTTTCTTCATAAAACATATATATATATATATATATATATATATACACTATGGAGTGATTCCTTTCAAATTGCTATCAAGAGACTTTCACAGTCATCAAAACATTACTCCGAGATGATCTTTGCTTTGTTGGTCTTATATATGGAATGATTCGTGTAACTTGTTATTGAATTCATGGACATAAAAGAATTACAAGTGTGTATTAAATAATTCGTAAAATAAAATAAGTGTAAAGGTTTAGACCAAAATATCAAAGATGTATGATATAATGGTTTGACACAAGAAAAAAATTTCACATAAAAATTTCACATAAATAAAGTATTAGACTTGAGGATTCCTCAAAATATTCAAAAAAAATAAATTAGGTTAATTTACAACTTATTCACGTAAGCAGAAATCTTTACATTATACTGTAATGTAACCACATCATATTAAAAAGTTGAAATTGTAACGGCTGGTGTTATAATTTAAAGCTTCTATATCATATTATAAGTTTCAAAATTGGGTGATGTTAAGACTTATCAATAATAACCAAAACAGATGTTAATTTTTAATTAAAGAAATAATACCTTTAAATATGATTTCATTATATTACGTTTTTCTCCCAGATAATAAATCTTCTTCAAGGCATAACATTTGTTGCAATATAAGGAGTGATGTGACTTTGTTGTATGCTTTGGTTTATTTCATTGAAGCACTTCACACGTCAACCATATTTTACTTGAAAAAAGATTCCACGATTAGACTCCTTGATCGGCTTAAGAAGTCTCAAACCGCTCTGGTTAGTGAATGTCACAATCGGAAGATGAGATCAAATGCCGAGGAGTGAAGCTTCTATAATTTTAGAATGGCCTTTCCGAACAGGACTAACTACCAACCTCCACTACTGCCCCTTGGCGTTATCAAATTACTCTTATTCTACAATCGACGAATGCACAAATTCAGAACATAAAAGTACATCAGTTATGCCAAAGTAGTTTCTGACAAGAGAGTAACTTATCTTTGCAATATTTCCAATTCTCCGTGTCTAGAATTTGTGTCCGCCAGCGAACTGATTTGGCCAGCCTTTGCACCCGACGTACTATAGCATTTGACTCCCGCACCAGCACCCAACCCCCTGGCCTCAGAATGCGGTCCATTTCTAGTACTATGTGAGCAATGTTGCACCTGCTGGCATCAATTACATTAGTAACCGATTTATTGCTATCCAATACTTGCTGAGTTATTTCACCAAAATAATTATTAAGTCGCGCTATTTGCACAAGGTTTTCATCACGATGTAGGTGGGCGAAATCGCATCTCATCTTCTGCCGCTAATCGACCGTTCTCCTCACTTGCTGCAAATAGTGCTTCCGTGTTTGTGTTGTCATTGTAGGCATGTCCACAGTATCATTCGACCAACTGATATGGCATGAGGAATCTCACCTAGTAGCTGCTTATAATGACTTAAGCAAATTAGAAAATGAGAAAAAAGACGAAGTGCTTGTAAGAAGATCGTAAGCCCGGGGATATGTGTCGAACGGCTCACACCTAGATATAAGGAACAAAAGTGAAAGTGATATGATTGTATCTCAGATTAGATCATGGATGCGGGAGAACGTGTCAACGGCTAAATGCCACTCGAAGTCCAAAACATTGCAACCGAGCTTGCATCTAAAATGAAATGAAAATGAAAATGAAAATGAAACAGAAGAGTTTCTGCGAAATTCATGAGAAGGATATACCAATCGTGAAATTAAAACAATCCCTCCCCGAGATTTCATAATTGCAACACCAATGAGGCCCCGATTAAAAATCACCGGTAAAGTATTCGGTCCGCTGATTGGAACGACATTCATCACCCACCAATCCACGTCTTGGTGCAGCAGCAAATCTACAATTTCAAGCGTCACCTAAATCAACGTGTGAAGTGCCTGCTGTTCATATAAAAGGGGATGAAGACAACCTCTCTGTCTTATTCAGGTGATTACTTTATCGCTAAAGATCCGGCTATCTTACGCAGCTGTAACATGTACAATATAAACAGAATATGAATTCTAATTTAAAGAAGATAAGGAGCACATTCTACTGAAGCAGTTTATATTCACTCAACAAAAGAATATCTTACCCTCCATACAGAGCTCGCATGTCCATGACATTCCGAAACTCTTCTTTGCGGAGCCCTAAACTTCGCAGGTAGCCTTTCATTATAACATACCAGTATCTTCTATCTCCTTTTAGTACCTGATGCCGAGCCAACCTAGCATTCATAGAAATGCTATGAATTCTAGAAGGTGCGGACAACCTCATCGGCCATTCAAGGACATCCGAAGTAGTTCAGCTTTCAGGCAGGAAAGACATACAGGGTCTAAGTGGAACGTACCTGCAATTAAAACAATCCCTCCCCGAAAATTCACAATGCTTAATAAAAATTACAGTTACTGAAAGTAGAAGCGTGGTTCAATGTGCTCTGCAATCTCATCACTCTAATGAAAATTACCATGAAAATGAGGTCTAGCAAAGGGCCTTACCAACAGTTCTTTGGATCTACTGCAATTTACTCTGGAGTCTTCGTCACGATATCAACGAAATGTTTGTGCAAACAACGGTACAAGAAGCATATTATGCAAAGTTTCAGGTCAAAACAGCTTTGGTCGATAAAGAGTTCGCTGATTAGCGTGACATTTTCCCCCACTTGCAAAATCTACAAGATGTTCTCTGTGCACCTTCAGGAAATCTGGTGATAGGTGTTAAAATAAATAAAATTATAGAAAGTAAAAATCTAAAAAGAATATAAGAAAAGCGATTCCTTGAAGGTTTGAGCCTCTACCATACATTGTCTGAATCATCCTTTTCGTCGCAGAAGGCTTTCCAGTATCAATTGGTCGATCAATATAACAGGAATCGTTCAAAGGTTTGCGCCACACGGCAACTTGCCCTTCTTTCCCAACTTGTTTCCAACAAAGACGACTAGTCAGGCTCTCAATTCCTGCACACGAGAGACATGTCAACGTTTAGGTCCTAAGGTCAGGGCAGACATCCTGCAGCGAGGTTTTGCGGGGCAGAGTCACAACGGCAGAGCTCCAACCTTTCCAAATATTCTTTTGTTTTTCTTCATTCTTATAGACAGGCGGAGCCGACCAAATAAAGTATGCGCCGGCTTGGAGCAAACGATTCACCCCTATCAGCAGAATTCCATCTGAATACAGCATCTCGACAAGTTTAGGACTTCTGCGCCTAGACCTTGCAAGGTTCACAACGTCATCTAACATTGTTCTTACAGGTTGATGGAGTTGAAGATGATTGCGCTAAAGGTAATCCCTCTAAATCTCCACAAGAAAAGACATCCATTTTAACCCACCAATGCAGAGATATGAAGATGTTTCTCATGGCACAGTGATGAAAGACAATTACCATCTCGAGTCCAATTGATTCGACAGCGAGAGCAATGTATCAAATCGAAAACCTGACTAGGATAAGGAAGTCGGCGAGTTGCCAAAATAGCAATCATTGCTGGCACGCCGCGTTCCAAAGCAAACTGTATCTGATTTTCATGAACATCCTTGGGTGCAATGGACAGGGTGATAACATCTCGGTCAAAGAGGCTAGCTCCAAAACTTGCTACACCACAGCGAATGTCCAGGACGACACGAGTACGGCGTCCATATTCAATAATAGGTCTCATCTGCATCAGATATACTCCTACAATGAGGTGAAGGTTGATCTCTTTAAGTGCTTGAAAGGGATAAAAACTGCAGTGACTCCTTACAAATCGTTTGAGATCACGACTTTTCATTTTGCAATCAATAGAGCAACATTTCTCAGAAACTCGCAATGCAAAAGGTCTTCTCTCTTACTTTGCTAATTTGGTCAAGATATTGATTGGCACCGTGTGCAAATTGAGTTCCACATCCTGGAAAAATGAACCTGTCCTTTTCAAGCCTTATCCAGTACTGCCCACCTTTGTCTGCGACTAGTTGCTTGTGTGGAACATTACTGTACCATACCTGCATTATCCATTCGAAAATGTTACATGTGGTAAATCTTCACTTGTCACTGCTCTTCAGTGGATAACAAAATCTCCCCAAGTCAAGATGCAGGACGCAAAGCACCAACACAACAAAACTACGAGCAAGTTCTAAAATGTTAATGCAGACAGATGGCAATCAGAGAGATGGAATGATTTGATATCAAGAAGAAGTCAACTCAAAAATTAAAGCTAAGAGCTTGAATGTAGCTCTGTAGAAAACTGGGAAATCAACGTGAAAGGCACGGTGAATATAGAAGAGGGATCAACCTCGTCCCGGCTCTTGGGCCATCTGATTGGAACTTTGTACGTAATTGGCGCTGCAATTAAGCAGCACATGCGTTCTGTGAGCGTGGGGCAATGTCTTTCCCAATTCTCCCCCCGGCTCACTGACTGCAACTCCTTGATAGCAGCAACATTATCAATACAAGGAACGTATTCTTTCAATCGCGAGGGACAAACTTCGAAGTTATATCCTTTCACACCCCCAGCGCTTTTCAGTGCAAAGGTTCTTGAAATGCTCATCTCGGGTTCCTCTTTCTGGATGGAAGTTAAAACCACATTACTCCAATATTTTAAAACGTGCATTCAATATGTTTAAGCAGGTATGCAAAGCAATTTGAAGTCGCAAGGAAGAAGTTTTACCACACTAAGTTTATATCCAAGTTCATCTTCAACGCTTGCTGAAAGACAGTCCTCGTTGAATCCCCCGTTGACGTCTAAGAGCTTGAATGTAGCTCTGTAGAAAACTATAAACCGAGGACGTCAGAAAGTACACACTTCCGTCGCAACTCCATTAATATAACTGGAAGAACAGTGGCAATTATTGCATCACTACGAGGGAAAAAACCAATTCCAACGACCATGTTCTAAGAAGTTAATGCAGGCGGATGGCAATCAGAGAGCTAAAAAATGAAATTCAGCCTGCTTAAACTTGTGATTCTGCTCCACACCTGAGAAATTCAAGATTAACCCAAGCATGCGGAGTCTAGTAAGTGTTCCTACGTCTTTGACATGTCCTGCTCTTGATTCACTCGCCGGCATCAAGGTTCTCTGTCAGTTTAAGCGGAACACCACAACTTATATTGCAAAGCTCGTGTTCTGCAGTTTTCTTCAACTGCGCAAGTGCCGGTAAAAATGCACTACTATCAACTTGTCCTCGATCTCTGGCTTGACTCCAACGCACAATAAATTCATGTACGTGATGGAAACAGGGAGCCACTTGCAGAAGAATATTTTTTGTTTATTCATCGAGACGCGGGTCTCCAGAACGACCCTCGCTTGTGGCTCCGAGCAGCTGCTGCCAAAAGGTCCCAACCACGGCCATTTTCTGTGAAGGAGAATCGCTAGCTTCCATTCTCAATTAAAATGAGACCGAAAGAGGAGTGGATATTTTTTCCTATTTGTTTCACAGAAGCTAGAACCGCCTCACTTTGAACAAAAATAAGAATAAAATCTCATGAACGCAGAAGGAAAGCTCAAATTCTACATGGCTATGGCGCTGTAGAGTAGACTACAACTACTACACAGCATAAGCAAATCACGACGTGCATGGGAATGGGCCATGGCATTATTTATCCTCATGGCAATGGGGGCATCACGGCAAGATTCCCGCCCTTCGGTTCAAACTCTCGCTGCTGACCCTGCGCAACGCAACCCGCAGCCGCCCATCGTTTCGCAGGGTCACCCGGGGGAACCCTGGTGAGTCGATCGCCCGTCATCGGGAACACGTTCGAGAGTTCCCCTCTGGGAACGTATTGTCGGCGAGAACTCAATTTGCAAATCTTTTCCTCCTTTATGGTAGATCGGATATTGTTTAGAAGATGAATCGATACAAAACTTGTGCCTTTGTGTTATTTATATTTTACAGAAATATATATATATATATATATATATATATGTCTGAAATGTCAGCTAAATTGATAAAAATAGCTTTACTTATCTATTTTTTGATAAAAATGAGTTCTCACTTCATATCTTACTTTATCACTAAATTAATATTATTGGATTTTCTATCTTATTATGTAAAATCCATATATTTGTCATTGAAATACATGGTAAGAACCTTATTTATGCATATTAACACAATATCAGCAATATTGCTTAAAATATGATTTTTTGGTAATTCTATTGTTTGAGAAATTACCGATATCTAGCTTTCAAATCCAATAACCATATGGTAATAATCTTGCTATATATGATAATCAAGCTAAGATACTACCATTACATCAAAACACTAATTTATGATCTCAATATGAAAATCAATAATATGAAAAATAGTCCAAACATTACATTGATTGTTTGGAATTCATTAGCATTGATTGTATTAAAAAGGCTGAATTTTTTTAAAAAATTACTCTGGTATTTTATTGAGAAGTTAACTTAGTAACTTAATCAGGTGAACAACATTCAGCACTAAATAAAACTCACAGGAATACAGGTTCATTCCTTGTATTTTTTATATTTAATATACACATGTCACTATCTCATGCAAGGTTTTGAGTTTTCATTGTAATTATTTTAAATTTATTTTGTATTCAAAATAATGATGATTAGCTCTTATTTGTAAAGTAATCTCAAAGTCTTTGACACAAGTATTGAAGAGCACCAACTACGCTGGTTTTATAATAAGGAACAGATTACAAAAAAGTCAAACAAAATATTAAACAGTTTATAGATTTTTTTTTAACTAGCATTAATAATTGAACTGATTATTTGAAAAGAAATGATTATAATTCTACATCATGAATATCTATACTGTAAAAAATTAATTCAAATTTTATATTATACTAAAAATAAAAGTGTGTATACTATAATATTTGTATTATTTGATTTTAAAACTCAATAAAGAATTTCAAATAATATATGTTAAAATCATCTATACATTTAAATGAACAAGAAGAAAAATCTAAAATATAATCAAATATAAAATAGTAGATGATTATTTAGAGATATTTACAAAATTTAATCAAGAAAATTGTATATTACTTTGATATTCATATATATATATATATATATATATACTCCAATAATAAAACTTTTGTCATTGATATAAAGACATGTTATTTCTTTCAATATTATAACATATTTTATGAAATCTACATTTATATACACATATATTTAAACTTATTTTCATTATTTTTATAAAACTTCATAATTAAATGAGAGCTAATATTCTTCTATTCTTTTGATTTGTAAAACAAAAAATTTAAGTCAACATTACAAATATAAAGAAGAAAATTTTCTTCTTCTAAATCATACTAAATTATAATTATAATAATAAAATCATGCAACATAAAGAATTTCTTAAATGTAAATTCTTATGTTTTGTCATTTTTTTCAATCAAAACTATTCTATTTTTTGGTTTTTATTATATATATATATATATATCATAATAGTCTAATTTTTTTAAGCTATATGTAATCTATTAAGATTATACACTATAAAATATTTTTAGAGCTTAATTCTTTCACACTTAAATTTTATTTCTTTTATTACTTTGTTATTCTTATTTTTTAGTCTCTTGTTTTTATATTATGATTAAAATTAAATAGCAGACAAATCACTAATAGTACTAAGAACGGATACTCTTTTCCAAAAATATTTCTAGTAGACATATTAAAACTATTACAAATACAAAATATCATGTATTATCTATGATCTAATTTAATGAATATCAATTAATTTTAGAATTCTTTAATGTATTTAAGAGTAAAGATTTTCTTCCTTCTTATTTCAACTTAAGAAGTTGAAGATTCTTAATAATTTTTTTGTCATATGTTTTTATAATGGGATATGAATTCCTTACATATTTCAGTATATATCACTTTTTTCTAAAATTTTAGACTTCTTTTAAATCTAAATCATCTCAATCCAATGTCAATCCTTCAAGCAATGTCAATATGCTTTCTATCTTGTTTTTATCTCTTACCATCTCATTTACTTAATGAAAATATTTTAATTCTTTTGAGAAGTGATTTTTCTATATTCCAAAAATCCAACCTTTAAATACTATAAAATTTATATATATAGTTTAGTAACATGATAATATATACTTTTAGAAATTTTGAGCTAAAATCTTATTATATTGCTTAAAATATAGCTCAAAATACTATCACTATTAAATCACGTTACTTACTACCTTTAGATTGCAAGGAGTAACTTCAACTTCCTACATCTCTTTTATCTCAGCTTAGAATTCATCAAATAGTATATAAAAAGTAGAGTAAAAAAATTGTTCTTTTCAATCCTAGTTACAAATCTTTCATTTCTTCACATATGCGTGCATTATGTCTAAAAGAATGAATCAACACCTTAACTTTGAGTGTCTATATTTTTCATAAAAACTCCATATCATACAAAATTTGTACCAAAATTATAGTAAAAAATCTAAACTTCTTAATTCTAGCCTCTAAGGTTTGAATGGCCTTAAAAGAATAACAATAATCCTTAGCATGGCCTTTGAAACCTCCTTAAAGTCCATTGAGCATGAATTTTGATTAATAAAAATAGAGATTTTTATCATCTATCTCTATTTATCTATATGCTTGGTCTGACTACTCGTTCTATACTAAAGCCTTCTCCAATATTTTTTTTTAATAAGTTTTACATTTTATGTATCCTAAATACCAAATAAAAGAAACAAATCAAGATTTTAAGAGTCACCAAAGTCTAATAAAGGTGACTTTTAATCTATAAAAACTATTATCAACATATAATAAACTTCAATAGTAGTCTTTTTAGACTAACTATTTCAAAGTACTAATCTAACTATATTTTGTGATTAACTAAAATCTAATAATGTGAATGTCACCACATTGTATAATAAATTGTATATTAAATATATATACATTATTTTCATATGGTAACCTAATCATAATACAACAATATTATATCTTGTTATTTATTCAAAGAAGAATATATTGTTCTTGAGGATCTTCATCTTGAGTACGTCTTTTTGAAGGTTATAAAAATTATAATGTCTTGTTTGATAAATCATAAAGTAATAGCTCTTGAATTAAATCTATTGATTGTTGCTTTTTCATCTCCTAAACATCACAAATATACAAAAGTTACAAACAATAATAGAAGATAGAATCCTATCTTTTCTAAATCTTGTTTCTTTTATATGAAAGATTTTCTATTCTTTATCTAAGTTTTGATGGATGTCATTGATGAAAAGTTTCAACTTTCTTTATAACATTTACAAGTTTCTTTGTTGGCTCCCATGTACATTAATTAATATTATATCCATACTAATGAATAAAATATTCTAATATATTTTGGTGCCACTTTGAATCTAAGACTTCTTCTATTTCAAATTCTTGATTATTATCTATTATTATAAGAAGATGTGATATTTGTCTTCTTTTCAAGATATTCACTGTCTTATATAGTTCAAGAAGATATACATAGAATATGAGATGAAACTTCATAAATATTGGTAGATATAATTAATAAGCAACAAGATTGACTTATTTACAAATAAAAAAAAGGTCTAAGCTTATGATAATCTAATTTGTCATAAAGACAAGTAGTCTTGATATTGTGAAAAATTAGCCATACCTTATTACCTACAATAAATTAAAGGCTGTTCATTGCAATAGGCATTTACATTCATTTTTAGTTATTCTTGAGCTTTTTTTAATTATGCCTTTATTATTCCATATAGCTTTGACAAATGATTTGTCAAATCTTTTGATACATGATTATTAATTTTAAAAAAGTCAAAAGTATTAAATTATGGATGATAACTATAATTGACAAAGAAAGGTGTTTATTAAGTAGAAAAATATATTAAGTTATTATATGGAAACTTTGCCAATGGCAAAACAATTCTTCCATCATCTTGATGATAATTCATGGTACATGTAGAATAGATATTAATTCATTTTTGAAAGATATTGATAAAATATATTAATAGTCTATATAATAGGAAATTCAGGAGGACAGATGAGTGATTTAGTTATTAAAAGTAGTTAATTTCAGAATTACGGTTAGAACCTGGAGAATCAGGGGAAAGTATATAGGAATTGTAGAAGTTAATTAGGGTACTAGACTGTGAGAGTCGTGAGCCGAGGGCCATCCTTGTGATAGTGTAAGTTGGAGTAAGCTTGGTGCTATTTCTTTTCTTTTGTTTGTTATTTTCTTTGAATAAGAGGATTGAAAGTTTCTAAATATTGTGAAATGAATTATGGAATGGAAATGTGATTGGTATTGTTTGAGAAGAAGAAAGATTGAATGCTAAAATCTGAATGTAGTTCAGTAGAGAGAATGAGTTTGTGTTTGTGTGAAACACTGTAATATGAATGGCAGTTTTGTGTGAAGAATTCTAGTGATTGGAATGAGGGTAATTGTGTGTTGAAAGCTATGAGGGCGCAATATTACAGTTGGAGATTATGAGGGTGAATATATTGGTGAAAATAGCAGTTATTGGTATGACTGAATTGCTATAAGGAAGAGACCGCTAAGGTGAAGGAGGAGATTATAGTTTCCTTGTATGTTCAGATATTGGAAATAGAGATGATACATTCAGGAGGTAATTGATTGTGTGATCCTAACGTGAACGCTTAAGCAACTAGTCATTTCTCATGTTCGAATCTCCCTATATGGGTTTATGATGGGAGGTTTCTTTTAGAATAAGTAAAACAAGCAATCACATTTTGGTGCTACTGCTAAGGAGTAATAATAGCTTTGAGTGTTAGGAATTAATTACCAAACGTGTGAAAAAATTAGTAATAGAAGATGATTTCAATAGTGTTTGAAACAAGATTATGGTTAATAAGAATGAGAGCATTACATCGAGAAAAATAAATCAGTTGAGAGAAAGATAGGGAAGAGCGCAAGGAAGGAACTTACTTAGAGAGGAGCAAGAATGTAATCT